GGGCATGATAAATATCTACGCTCCAACTTGAGGGGAGTGTTACAGAATATATTTAGAATAGGAAATAAATAAATAAATAAATAAATATATATATATATCCTGATTTATAGGGATTTGATATAATTAGTCTTCTTCTTAAAATAGGATTTGCATCTTGTATATATATATAAGAGATTCATGAATATAGAATATGAAATAATTTCTTCCCGTTTACAGTTTGATAACAGAAATGCAAATAGATTGAAATGATGAAACTGAACCGCAAATGAGACCACAAAAGGGTAATTATCCAATACAGCAAGGAAGCAGAATTACCTTTATGGTGACATATATGAGAACAGGTAGAAATTCATCTGCTCCTGGATGATCTTCATTGGCTGCAGTGGAGGCATTGATCAGTAGGTTATTGATGACCTTGCAACAATTGAGAATGCAGACAAGTTTATCTCTTGGTGCCTTGTACATATTAATCTTTTGCAGCTCTTTCTGCGCAAGCTGCCAGTGGAAGAGCAAGAATGGGGTTAGACTTAGAACTTAGGCATCTAGCTGAGTAAGGTTTATCATTCCTGTTAAAGTGTGTAAGACTAGTGTCCATTACCCAAGCTTTCTCTCATTGCATATTATTTTATCTCAAACCTTTCAATATGATTATTTTCCACCCGGAGCGCGGGGAGGATGTACCATCTAGATCTCATGGAAAACCAGCCTAATATATGGTATCTAAAAAGCTTTCAACAATTTAACCTCGTAAAACAGTTTTACTAACATATCTGTCAACATATAAACTAAAAGCCACAAGATGTACACATATCAGCAAATAGAGAACTTTGAACTTATTGGATACTTCTCCTGCAAAATCAATGAGTTTAGATGAGCTAGTGCACAAAAGATAAATTTGACAGCAGATCGCTGACATCCAAGAGAAATTAATCGTAATCATATTCAAATTCATCTGGTAATAGTTTAAACTTGCTTTTCTTTTCTAGTTCTCAAGGCAATAAATCGTGCCAACATCTCACTATTGATGGGCTTGGTGTACGTCTGTACTAATCAATGGGTAACATCTACTTAGTTGTCATGATGTTGCTTGAAAGTAGAAAATTGAACTGAAAGGACGTCTCACAAAGTAATTCCAGTGATATAACAAGACATTTATTCCCATTCAAAGCATTTTCTCTTTAACTATATATCCCGTATAAACATGCACAGACCCATAAAATATCTACTGTGTCAACATGATGCATAAACAACACTCCGTATGAACCTTTAATAATCTGCCATGATGTTTCAGCTAAAAGATAGGGTTGATATTCAATCAGCAAAAACCAATTTAATTGCTTACATTCCTTCTTTTGAAGACGTTGCTAGTCAATTCATAGATCTTCAAGATCAGAGGGCAATCCATTCGGTCATGATAGAACTTGTAAAATTTACGAGACAACATTATGCTATGGGTTTAGGAAAATACTGGCTAAGAACTATGGGTCTCTTCCTAATTGTCGCTTGGGCTTATAAATATTAATGGACGACTATTACAGGAGAAAGTAGAGAAAAAGTGAATATGGATATGTATGTTCAGTTATTCAACCTACACCCAAAAAAATTACGCATCCTTACCAGACTCTTGGCAATTTCATGCCATGGTGGGTGCACAATGAAAATGATGCAAGGATGTTAATTTTTGCATCGTGAACATAAGTTCATGAATATGTAACAACCCAAACACAGCACACAGCCTGCTATTGTGGCCATTACAAGTTTAATTCCCAACAAGAAACTCAACTGGGGAAGTGGTCAACACAGTAGGAAAAATCATTTTAAGTTGATTCTTTTACTCACCAACCACGATGTTTCATTTTGAAAGGTTGGCTTGATATCCAAGTTTTCTGGCCGAACGAATTGTTGAATCAAAGCCATCTTTTCATGAAGTTGCTTGTCAACTTCCACATCTTCCGGAATTGCAGCAAATACGCGTGTAAATAACTTTGTCAAGATATATTTTTCCAGTCCCTGTAATTGAAAGAAGTATAAATATAGCCCTTAGCAAAGTTAAGAAACATTATTTTCCAGTCACTAAATTGGAGGAATATCTCCAGACTCCAGTTGCTAAATTGGACGAACATCTGAGTGTTAACAAAAGATATGAAAAGTTTAGCAAATGTGGAGTTTTTATTTTTGTAAATAACACCTTTTTAATAACTTCATAAGTTGTTATACACAAATCTATATAAACAAAGAGACTAGGAAAAAATGGCTGAGAAAGCGATTATAGGAGGAGGGGAAAAGAAACTATCACCCCATGGAGTGAGGGATGCTAACTCTGCTTTGTATAAGAAACAAGCTTTCAAACATGTTCGAACTTGACTCTTTTATTGTTCAGCCAAGCTCAGCAAGCTATTGTTGGGCCGAGATTGAGTGACTGGATAAATTTACACTGCACTGGATAGTGATTACTTAGTAGTTTAACAACTCTACTCAACTGAATACAAATTTTAAAATGTGTTCACATTTGGGTTATTTTACATGAGCCTAACTTAGATAAGCTTCCAATGATCCGAGCCCAGGCCTACCCAAGTCATTCAAGCCAATTTATAGCCTGCATCTAGATCATATTCTAAATAGAAGTGAGTTTCCAATAATCAGAAAAAGAGATAGGAAAATGCCTCGACAATTGCTCGAGCTAGATTTAAAAATAAAGACAAAATTTCGTGGAATATTGGAACTGTGTCCAAAATCGTAGTTATGGTAACATTCTAAATTCACCAAATCTTCAAATCATTGCACAACAGAACTTCAACATATTTGCGGCAACTGCAACGATGAATAAACTTGAGACCTATTGCAGATTATGGTCGTGATCATCAAATCACGGAAATTGAAAGACAACATTCTTTTGCAATAGATATGTCATCTAGATAGATAAATGAACATGCTTTAAGAGTGTGCATGAGTGCTCGTGCGAGTAATAATGTATAAAGAGTAGATAATCAAGGTATCCCCAACGGTAATACTGCATATGATTAATGTATGTAAAAGAAGTTTAGAATTGATGGGATTCACTGAAAGACTAAACTATGTATGAGCTCTTCCAAGCCTAGTCCATGAAACTAAACTATGTCAGAATTCCCATCCTTTGTATGTGCAATTGTAACCACTGATAGACCATTTTAAGTTAAAAAATTTAACCAAACCAAGCAAAAACCAGGTCAAGGAGTAGAAGATACCCAATCTCAAGANGCAAAAACCAGGTCAAGGAGTAGAAGATACCCAATCTCAAGAAGGAATTCTTAAATTACTAATCTTTTATAATTTCTGTTTTCACCAGATTGTTGCAAATTAATTATATAACAAATACACTTAAACAGTAACATGAAATCGAAATGTTAGAGGTCGATTACTAATGTTCATTCCATACCATTCCAAATATCGTTTTGATATGTTTATAGTGAGTCATGAATGTAAAAGAACCAATAAGTGAAAAACTACTGAAACTCACTTCACCAGCACTCTCTAGCTCCTCCTCTGAACATCCAGCCCAAAGGGAGTGTGACCTAAATGCCGCTTCCATATTCCCAAGGAACTCCTGCATAGCTGTGCTGTCCCTTTCGGCATCCGGTGTATTATTGAAAAAGGACACTATAAAACTGCAAATAATCCAAATCAAATACTCAATAGTGTGTTTTAGAGTAACTAAAAAATAAATAAAAGTACCTAAGTGCCAAATAATTAGTAAATTACGTAATAAATTCCAAAAGAAAAAGTGATTTGAGTAATAACACATAAAGCTTCAGTTCATGCTTAAATGGAAACGACTTGGACAAAATAATTTCTTTTAATAGTTTGCAAGTGAACAAAGTGATTGTGCACTGAAATAACTCAAAATTAATAATTATGTGTCCAAGGTGGTAAGAATTATTGCATCACAAAACTGCAATCGTACAAACTTAAGCTATCCTATATTGTAGAAGATAAAGAGAAAATGGAAGCAGTCAAGCTTTAAATTCCTGGGCTCATTCAATTCCAAGAAAAAATCATCAAAACCAATTTTTTTTTTTTTGAAGTTTCAGCATATTTGATGCATACATTTATAATTGAACTTACTCTTGAACAAGATATGGACTTACTATTCAACACCAACAATTATTTTTAGCAATAATGAATATGTACCTCACAATATGAACAAAATTGCTATATAGCTATTTAAGCGTTCATTAAAAATGAAAGATTCAAATTCGTAATTAGCAACTAAGGACCTCATTTATTAACATGGATGATTTTTTTTTCTATGAATCGAATGATAATAGCAATAATTACCTTTTAATGGCTTTGACGAAATCGGCAGCGGAGGGGTGGCGCATGCGTTCGAGGAAGTACTGCCACGTTGGAGTGGCAGTCGACGATCCAAAGGCGTCGGAATTCTCCATTATCCTCCGCCGGCAATCCAGTCAACGGATTCGATTTGTAAAATTGGGTGCGATGCGAAACACTGCCGATTAATCGGCCAGCTGTCACTCTAATTATAGTCAGTGGTCACTAAGCCCTTCTCGACAAAGTTAGAAAAATCATATTTTGAACGTTGATTTTCAAGGAGAAAGTAGGAAAAATATTTTATTATTGTTTAAAAATGAATTAAAAAATAGATTTTGAAAATAATGATGGTCAAATATGATTGTTACATGATCATATTTAATCAAATATTCGCATAATAAAATATTCTACACGTATATCAAAAACTTTTGCCTATTTTTTAATCACACATTTACCTGAAAATACTGTTCATAACTCGTTTTTTCCAATTAATGAGAATCAATCAGACTTTAAATAGACACTGAATGAGAATCAAACAGACTTTAAATAGACATTGAATGATGAATTGGAAGTTGATTAATGGAATTCACAAGTTCTAGTGCCCTAAATTTTTTAATTTTCTACAAATTAATAACCTCCATTAAGTGATAATTATTGTGCAACAGATCAGACTACATCCTTCATAGATGTTCCAATTTGGTTGTTCAATTATGGATAAAAATAAAACAAATGAAATTTAATTTTTAATTAAGATTTTTAACTATATGCATACATATAATAGTTAATTAATTAGATTGAACTATCGACTCTCGACCCTTTAATTTTTCAATTAAATAATAGGTAAGCTATATTGTGTCACTCAATACTTTATCTAGTTAAAGATTTTTTAAAAAAAAATTATAATCTATAATCTTACGTAATATGTGAATAAATAGTTGACAACGTTATGTCCGACGGGGGTAAAATTATGTGTACTAATTTATATGCTTAAACCAACTTTGCCAAACATACTATTAGTTGAACTTTATAGAATTATTCCATGTTGGCCGTTGAATTTTATTTTATTTTTATATTAAGTAGTAACCAACTTCAATTTTTGTTTCAATTTGACCATATCTCACGGATTGTTTGAAGTTCTTAAAACCAATTCCATTTGTGATTATTTTTCATTTCCACCACTACGCAAGCAATGAAAAACATACACTATAATTCGCATTCGTTACTAGCAAATTCTACTTATTTTGAGGCGCGCCGATAGTTTTTAATCGCGCACAATGCAAAATGGCCAAACTGAAAAGAAACATAAGTCGAAATTCAATAACTAATATGAAACAACTCTATAAGTCGAGTGAGATCTTGAATGAAATTTTCTCGATAACTAGAAGCCCCTGTAACGAGAAAATAAGTGCTAAGAGAATTGCAATGCTTTCTAAAGGATGTGACAAATGCCTTAGCAGGGGTTTGATGGCCATTATTGTATAAAAATAATTTTCGAATAGTAATTTTTTTGAAAAAATGTTTGGTTAAAAAAAGGAAAATAATTGAATTTACATGCAAAATATTTTATTGTGTGAATGTGTATTCGAAAATAAGTACGAAAAATAAATTATTTTATTTTAAAGGGAGTCAAACGGGCTTAGACTACTCTTCTTTAGACAAAAGCATGAAAACTCATCTTGACTAACCTCCGGCGTACGCATTGCTTCAAAAGTCTATGCTCTATAGTCCTTTCAAGGCAAATGACACATTTGATGCTATTAAGGTAAACAAGTCTACCAAATTTTGAAAGGAGGAAAAAAAAACCTTTTTAAATTGTATGTACAAATGTGAAACTATCCCTTCTAAATTGAATTGCACATCACCAGTATATGTAGTCTTCTACTCACAATCAAGTATCATATCCAAAAAAATAACATCCCCTCTATTCTAATGTAGAAGAATGTGTGCATAATATGTCGTGGCTCCACAATCTTCCATCCAAGAATCCGTAAAATCAAAATAAATTACCGTCCGTGCTCTAACTCAGATAATAATTTACTTTGATCGTATATCTCAAAGCCACATGCAATATTTGTATTGACTACTCAACTAGAGACTGCCTCGACTAACCCAGCAGCTGAAAATGGGGAGTTTCGGGTTTTCCTGTCCGAATATATTTGTTTATAGTAAAGCATTCCAAAGAGCCTCATCTCCTTCACCACACCTTTCGTGTACAAATTTGATCTTCTCTACTGACTTGCAAATTCCACTGCAACTCCAGTCAAAGGAAGCAATACATACATTGCCTGCTTGTGCCTTCCATTCACAATCTGCGAAATTAAAAAAAAAAAGGGACAAAGGTATAAGACCTCGAAAAAGAAGGAAACATAAAGACAAGACACTCAATGAGCATATAGATACACCAACAATATGTATAAGAGAGCAGCTCCAAGGTACACGGTGTAACAATTTGCTTTTAGAAAAGTAAGTTTTTGAACTAAACCCCACCCCCATCCCCCCAAAAAAAATAATAATAAAATAAAAAAAACATATCTAAATAAGTTCAGACATGTTCGGAAAAATGAGTTACTTAAGAGTAACTTTTAAGCTTAGCCAAACATATAGTCTTCAAGGTTCTGAATACATGAATTTCACTTCATATTCAGTATCCAAGTTTTGAGTTCAAGACATTTGCACGACTACCTAATTGGAGAACCATACCTGGAGGAGTTCCACAGCACATATTGCGTTCATCAATGTGCTCGACTTCAAGACCGATGAACCATGCACCAAGCGTCACATCTTCATTGGCATACTTGTGCAATATGGGCCTATATCAAAATTAAAATACCACATAATTATTGAAGAACCATCACATGTAAATTCTTGTTCTCATGATAAAAGAATATCCATACTGGCATTTATAGATACGGGTAAAGAACACTAGTTGTCACTGATTTTTTAGCAAATCTGGATGATGTTCACTCAACTTTACTTTGTTTTAAATTGTTGTTGAACTTAAATTTTGTTTCAAGTTGGTCACTCAACTTCATTGTTGTTACAATTTGGTCATTTCATCCATGGAGTTTAACTAATGGAAAAGCTTATGTGGCAATCTAGTTGGCATCCTAGTCATCAAAATAACTTGATTGCCATGACACCTTTTGCTAGTCAAGCAAAAAGATCTGAACTGAGTGGCGAAATTGTAACAAAGATTAGGTTTCTAAGAACAACTTGAAACAAAATGAAGTTGAGTGACTAAAATTTGCCAAAATTGTGTGTGTGGAGGATGAAATCCAGCTTAACCAAAAAAACAAATGATCCTTACAGGTTGATTGAGATGTATGTAGCCAAATCTTTCGAAATGGCATATATCTGCCCAGTTGCATGACGGAAGTATTTGTTTCCTTCTTCTCCGAATTTCCAAAATTCTGGTTCATGGTATTTTACATCCCTACATCACAAAAAAAAAAAAGTAAATATCTAAAAGCTTTACATTACTGCAAGTAATATGAACACAATATCACTGTGAAAGCTCTAGGATTACTTTGAAGAAAGAACAGGTCCAGATTTCATACACCCAATGTAAACTCGTGGTTTAGATCGATGTCGGGCAAGAGTTGCAGCAAGTGTACCTGTAGTAGAAACACCCATGATTAAGTTCAAGCATGAGGATCAAGAGCTTGTTTATCTAGCTTAAAAAGTTTACGTATAAGTAAATAAGTTCAAAATAACTAATCTTTTATAAGTCCAAAAAGGGAATAGATTGAAAGCATATTAACTTAAACTTAGCCAGTCATGCTCTAAATTTTTTAAATTTACCAAAGGAGTAATAGAGAGAGAGAGAGAGATGCAGCGTGTACCCAAATTGACATGGACATCATCATCAACTTTAATATAGAAATCAGCATCCCATTTTTCAACAGCAGTGGCAAAGAAAATTTTTGTTTTTGCAGACAGTTCATGATATCCTTCAACATGATCCTATGTATAACACGGTTAGAGAAAAATATGTGGCTTCGCTTGCATTTCCCAAAATAATTTAATTCTAAAAATGAAAAGTCGGTTGCATTCTTTTACCAGCCGGAGGAAGTCCTTGTGTTGAGCTTCTTCAGAATCAAGAGCTCGATCCAATATGCTGTTGGATGTTGCGCTGTTTTAACCAACAAATTCATCCACTGGTCAGTTTCACATAACACACAACATCACTCAATTCTAACATATATTATGTTATATAAGACATGTAAAAAGAAGAATTTTTGCATATCGACTAAGGCTTGGAAAAAAAAGGGCCTAACCAACAACTGACCCGATTGGCCGATTCTGATCGGTTTTCACAAACTTCGCAATTTAGGACGGTTATTGCGTAACCCAAACCGAATTGAGTCGGGTCGACTTGTGGGTTAAACATCCAACCCAATTCAATCCACCGAACCAACAAAATGTGTTTGTCATCCAGCATCAAATATCGAGTTTTACACAAGCTCAATATTTGTGAGCATCAAATATCGAGTTCTGCACAAATTCGATGTTTATTTTCTAAATTAATTTGGACCCAAGACCAAACCGATAATACAAATCGAACTAATCCAAATCATATTAGTTTGGGTTGGTTCGGTTTCTGCAGCAATATTGGGTCGGTTTGGATCTCAATTCCCCAAATTGACTTGGACGGTTTCGGCTTCGGGTTGGGCCCAGAACCGACTCACACCAGCTCCCTAATATCGACTACGAGAAGTAGCAGTTAGCAGTTGTATTATCATTGTTTGTAATCCTTCACGAGATGGGAATGATTCAAGGTCCTTATTCTTAGAAAATTAATCAAATGGGTTAAGGAAGACTTCTATATATCAAAAAGCCATCGATACTGCCATCAATGGTAAAAGCATACAACAGATCCTCAAAAAGAGAAGCGGGTGTCTCGAAAATGTGAATTTTTCTTATCAAGGCAAATTTTCATGGTCATAGTGAAATGACCCGATGTCTAAGTTCTTGTTTAAAACCTGTATTTTAGACATCAAAAAACTGATATAACCTTATTTTGAAAAGGAACAGGCCTCCTTCTCCAATTTATCATCTTCTTCACCAAACCGTAAACCCAACCCATGCCACCAATGCTGCCCCCACCTTTCCCAATTTCCCAGCCTCCCCCTTCCCCCTCCTTTCTTCCCTCAACCGTCCCACCCCATATTTTGTCTTACTCGACTCCCAAGTCAAGCAGCTGTTCAGGAGCACCCAAGTAAAGCACACGCCGAGTTGAAAAGAACAAAAATAAAATGAGAAAAAGAGGGGTAGGGAAATGGAGTAGTTGGAAGGGAGCAGGCGAGAGGAAGGGGGGATGGGAGCTGATCCAAACAAATATTACAGGGGCTTGTTACATTTTATGTCTAAACAGGGTACATCCCGGACAATTTCCTCTTAGAAATACGGGTAATATTGGCGTATTCCCCTACTAACACACTCAAAATAGCCCTTGGTGGCTTGCATTCTATGCTAATGTCAAAAGTTTAAAATTTTCAATGCAGTTGAGTTAAGTCAAACCCAAACTTCAGCCCATAAAATGCATCAAATCTCCCCCTACTCACAAACGTCTTCAATTTGTAGAGCTTTGAATCATTTGCATTTCATCTACAACTCCGCAGAAGGAACTCTAGTTCCATTTCTTCGCATTCCCCAGTTCCTACTAGAAGCTGATAGAAGGAGGCAACTACTGGTGTTGGTTAATTTATGAAATTTATTAATACTGCATCTTTATGCACAAAGGCCTTGTATGGGAGGGATTAAAATCGGATTAAAATTGAAAATATAGCCGTTATTGTTGACTTTTATTAGACGGGTGGGACCCAATAACGACCATATTTTCAATTTTAATTGGATTTTAAGCCCTCCCGAACGGGGCCTAAATAACTAACCCTGTTTGATTGCAATGAATTCCATAGAAAATATCACATTCGAGGAAAACGAATTACACTCTGTCAAAATTTAGACTTTATCACGACAGGTAAAATGCAATTAAAACTTCCTTGAGAACTCGAGGATATTCGGAGCCATATAACTCAAATATACCACCCAATGTAGACCAAGTATACATCTACAAGGAAACTAGTCAAACAAAATACGTTCTGAAAATGTATGGGAAAAAGTAGAATACCTATGTCCAATCATGAAGCGGACGATGATCCCCTTCTCCTTCTCCAATCTGAGAAGCTGTTCCCCTGATCAAATCACACAAATAGATCGTTATATTTCATATATAAGGAGAAGAATCTACTTCATTGGCGACCTACACCAAAACAAAGAACGTGGTATCACCTTGAGGCATCCAAGTCTCTCTAACGGAATCCCGTCTCTTCCTACTACAGAAAGCCGTATAAATTCCAATTACCATAAATGCCTTCTTCCTTGGAGGTCCCTCTTTAGAAGTTACAGATGACCCCTTGG